GGGGGGGGGGGGGGGGGGGGGGAGGTACAGAAGCTTCTGCAACTTTCTGTTGCAGGATGGGCAACATATTGTGGGAGGGTGGGGAGCACACCCCTTCCCCCTCTCTAGAGCTCTTCCTGGTGACTATCAGTTTCTGGCTGCTATCCCTTTTCTCCCCAAAGCCCCCAGGAGTGACATCCCATGAAGTTGTCCCATCACTCTTGGAGGATTTACGGTGTAAAAAATGGTAGCCAGCAAAGGAATTACAGAGGCAAGGACCAAATTTCTACCTCACCCTGAATTTCAGGCCTCTTAAAAACCACTTGGAATATCTTCTGAATGTCACTGTGTGCAAATGGTGGGTGGGTGTTTTGGGGGAGGGTGACTTACTGGCTCAGCATTGCCCCCTGTTCTGTGATGGGATTCTGGCAGTGTGCACAGGGTTTCTCCAAAAGTTGGCCAGACTGAAACCTGCTTACTTTCAGCAAGGTGGCTGCCTCATTGGTTTGCAGACCCCGCTCCTGACCCATGGGGGATATTTAACTCACACCCCCTGCATGCTGCCTCTGATGTAAACATCTGTCAGAAGCAACTCACTTCAAATGCATAGTAGCAAAAGTGAGCACATAAGATAAAAGTCTGCTTTGGTGAAACTGTCAGAAAGAAAGATGGCATTTGTTAATGCAGGTACCATTAGCAGCTCTTCAAGGTGGCCTGAATATTAGTTTTGGCCCCTTTCTTCACTAATGATAGAACTCCACTTGGGAATTTGGAAGGTACATCTTGGGACATGGTCAAATGTGTGGATTTCTACAAATGGTCCAGCAACTCCACCCTCATGCATTTTACCACCCATGCAGTTTGAATGTCACAGGTAAAGGAAGGGAGTGGGTGAAAGTCTCCACTGAATGGAGTATTTGCATTCCAGTGGAGGCAGTTTAAGGTTTTCATGCACATCTATGTGAATGAGATTGTCACTGAAGAAACTGTGTTTTACTTTTCCGCACGAGTTCTTAAATACTTCAAATATGGCATATTTCATGTTTTCAAAGTGCTTCGCACCTGTCCACTTGAGGGCAGACCAGAAACGAACACACAGCTGCTGCAGGAAACAGCAGCCTCACGATTTCTCCACTCTACCATAGTGTCTCATAGAATGTATCCAATATTGTAAGAGCATC